ACATTAATGCATTTGTTGTAAGGAATTCCAGTTCCAATGGATTGATTTCATAAGGCTTTGGTTCGTCGGAAAATTTCTGTAATACTCATTTCTCTCGTGTCTCGATGTTTTGTCAACACGTTCTTGAACAGGTGGTGTGAATATGATAAACACGATCATGTGAAGTTATTTCCGTACGGTGTGTTGTAAAGTGGGGAGCTTGAATTGGGTCATAGTTATGAACTCATTAGTAATTTCACTTGCTGACGCATGTCAGATCCAATGAAAATCTGATTGCACGGGAACGTAAATGTGTCCACGATCGTACCATGTATCTGTATCATGTAGCCTGTTGCAATCTTTAAACGATTCATTATGAGTGTGTTAAACATGGTTAATAATACGTTATCGAAGTTTTTTGATTTAACAATTGAACGTTTGTGTCTATAAGGTGAAGGTCATATTACGCCTCCCACTCGTCACATTGACATGTAGAGTTACTAGTCCGTGACAAAAACACAAATGTCTTTCGGTCATTCATAAAATCGAATGGAAGATAAGATAATGGGTTTATGTAAGGAATGGCGACTACGGAAACTTGCGCGTTCAGTCAACTCGACCGAGAATTAAAAGTTGTCATGTAATGGGTTTCAGCATATGAATGGTGGGAAACTGACATACTAACTGTAATGCCTGCTTTTGTCTTTCGCAATGTGTAACAAGGAAGAGAATGCATGCTCCAAAAACTTTGAAATAATAAGTAAGCCTTTCTCATGAGAGCAGTTCTTTAGAAGCGTTGTGGAATTCTTTACCTTGCAGGTGCTGTAATGATCAAAAAGTTGGGCAGTAGGCAAGAATACAGTTATTTCCAGACCATTCTTTTGTTTCTTTATCACCAAATGCCCACTGAAGCTTCCTCCTCCATTGAATTGTGGATAAGACTATTTTTCTTGTAACTATCTTTGGTTACATATGTGAAGTCTGTTTGTATTGGTGTTGAAGTTCAAATTTGTGGAACCCCTGTCCCCGTTTTTCCCCTGTCTGGAGTTATATTCTAGCTGCAGACTGTATCAGTATTTGAAGTGAAATATTGCCATAATTGGTTAATATATTTTATCAAATGCGTATTTGGTCAGCAAGTGTTTCTGTGCCTGTGGTTAATGGAGCGTGCTTGTGTAATGTTTGTCCGTGCAGAGACGTGCTTCAGCGTCAGGTACGTCGTGTCCCTAGCGTATCGTTGAAGTCGATGCACCCTTCTGATAACAGCGTGATTTAGAATTACTTCTGTTTGAAGGTGTAGGTTTGTCTCGTGTGTGACATTACTGTTATGTTGGTTCCCTGATGAAGTATAAAGCTGTAGTCACGAATCTGTATAAAGGCGAAAGATTTGCTACGTGGAAAGGAGGTCTGAACCTAACGAATTCTGCTTTATGTTGCCAGGGCATATTCATTTTCGTTAAACTGATAGACAGGATAGCTGCTATTCCAGTTTTAAAATATTACAGCAGTGACTGATGCAGGGCTGTGTTTTAAAGAAAAAAAATAAAATTGTGGAAGTATTCCCAGTGATTAAGCAACACAACACAGGTGCATAGGGAGTCTGGAGGAAAAGACGGTGAACTCGTGCTCCGGCTGCTTTATCTCTGGGGGGAGAGCTACCAGATAGGAGGATGGCTGTGCCCTGGAGCCGGCACAATGCGACATCCCAGATCCTACCAGGAACAGAACCCTGCCTATTCAGTCTGTTCGTATAATTATCAAGAGCGTTCTGTCCCTCTGCGTATTTATATTGGATGTGATGCTTATCAGCTGGACTCTTGTGAATGAAGCAGCTGTTGGTGCTTTTGTATTTTGGTTTTGTGATAGCAGACCCCAGGTGTGATGTCATAAGTAGGAATTGTGGTGTTCATGGCTATGGGCGTGAAGATGGCGGTCTTCTGGGTTGTAGCGCCGTGTAGTCTGGTAGAAGTTTACTGGCGTCTCAAGAGTTCTTGCTTCTTCTGTCATCACGGCATCCTGAGGACCTCTCAAATGCTGATAAACTTCTATGACACTACACGGCGCTACAACCCAGAAGACCGCCATCTTCATAATTTGTTGAGCTTCTGCTTTGTACACATCTCCATAAAGAATCTTTTTCTCCCCACCAATATTGAAAAAAAGATTTGAACTTGGAATTGCAGAAACTTACAAAGAGTGTCCAAAAACATGTTTACAAATTGTTTTTAAGAAATTTATTTTGTTGCAAAGGAAGTCTTAGTTATTTAAACAACTTACTGATATGTGAGAATGAGCCAGAGTGACTAAGTTAGGGCAGGATTTTTCTCTTTGAAATAACATCCAGACTGGCTTTGGGGCCCAACTAGTTTGTACCAGAGTTCTCTCATCAGGGATCAAGTGGCTCCTAGTACCAAGGTTAAGAACATGTATAAATATGGCGCGCCGAATTCGGTAGTGTAATCTTCGACGAGTATGTGAGTGGCGGTAGCTGTCACAGTGCACCCCGGCACTAGTTGGGGAGCAGAGAAAGTGCTGATGTTGTGTCTTGCAGGTGAGGCAAAGAATTTGCAGTGCAGAAGCCATGGCTCAGTGAACCAGCGTGATGTATACTGCACGCTGTCTTTGGACCAGGAGGAGATATTCCGCACCACCACCATAGAGCGCACCCTTAAGTAAGCGAGTTCATGTTCTGGTGTATGCGATCTGTTCAGAATCTTTTATTTTCCTTTCTAAAAACCTGAAGATTAAAAAAGCTCACAAAACTCTCAGTACCTGGTACCTTTTGTTTTATCTGGGTATAGAAATTGGTCTTTCACGTAGACCGAGGGTGTTTAAGAACAGGGTGCTAAGAAGAATATTTTAGACCTGAGAGGGAGACTGGAGAAAGTTCTTGAAAAATAAAGTATTAATCCGAAAATCTGAGGGAAGAGACCACCTGGGACACCTAGATGGATAGATAATATTGAAGAGGATTTAGAATAAACAGGGTATGAGGTGTGGATTTGGTTTGTTGACTAAGGATAGGGACCTGTGACAGACAGTCAAGAACCAGGGATAACTCTACATTTTATACTTTTCATAAATAAATATATATGTATATCACATGTAATGCATTAAGAACATTTCAGATGAAACTTGCAGAGCATAAGAAGCTCTGTATTTCATATTGGAGAGACAGATGTTTCTCCCTATTCTGTTTCAGAAACGTCACAAATTTATTTCAGCATCGTGCAAGCCTGTGTTGGCACAGTGTGTCTTTATAGCTCTGGCCTCTTCCGAGCAGCAGTGTGCGCCTTTGTAATGTTCACTCTGCCCTCACGTGCCCTGTGTTTATGTGCTTGTTCCTCAGATCCTCTGTGCTTCCTGCTTAAGAACTGTCTTTTTACTAATACCGAGCAAGACGCGCTATGACCGCCGACCAAATCTGGCTTCCAAAAACAGTTAAGAACCTGTGAAAGAAGTTTTTAAGAACAGGTCTCGTGGAATTATTGTGTCCACTGCATTCAGTGCTACAGCCTTTGTGTGACCCAAGTCTCTGTCTGCACTTTACCCTTCCCAGCTGTGCCAGTGTTTCAGATTTAACATGTGTACTCGGTGCAGGGAAAGGTCCTCAGCACGTAATTCCCATAATTTCCCTTGTATTTTGTCTTGGTTCCAAGGTCCAGATATTTTTTCAGTGCATGTGTTCTCAATACTGTCAGTTTGTATTTGTAACCATACAGAAGAACAGAAAATTAATGATCTTCTGGATTGTGATGCCATAGATTTTTTTATGTGTTTGCAGCCCATATTTTGGGGAGGAGTTCCAGTTTGAGGTGCCACGTCGTTTTCGTTACTTGTCTGTATATGTGTATGATAGGGACCGCCACCTGAAACAAGATAAAGTTATTGGCAAAGTGGCCATCAAACGGGAGGTTCTGCACACATATCACAGTAGAGATCACTGGTTCCCCATCCTCCCAGTTGATGCTGACAGTGAAGTACAGGTATATCATACATGTACTGGGAGTAATTAGTCTTTAAACTCTGTAAGTTTTAGGTAATTAGGAGTATTTTAATGCTTTCCTTCTTGCTGCAGCTTGAGATGCCGATAGATTGCAGAAAAGAATGCATTAAAATGTTGTTGATTACTGCATGAAAGGCCAGTTAGGATTACATTAAATTCTATTAACCCTTTAGCATAGGAAGTTCTGTACATCAGTGTACATTACTGCACTAGAATTTTTGGTTTTTGTTGGTAATAAAGTATGGAGTTCTTACCAAAGGAGAGAGAAATCTTACTGGTCTAAAATGGACTAAGCCGTGAAGCACTCACCGCATTTCTTGTGACTTTGCCAGACCAACATGCGAAACATATGGTAATTAATCCCGTTGGTATTAAGTAATCCAAAGAATGTGATCCTTGTGCCACGTTTTCAAATTCACATTCCCAAGATTTACAGCAGAAATGTTTGATGTAAAACTATACAAACCAGTAAAAAGACCATTCTGTTTAGTCCAGTAGATGTCAAACTCTTTAGTAATTTTGTTTTGTTTTTAAATTTTTGCGCATGATTTTCCAGGGTAAAGCAAACATTGAAGTAAAAGTGGAGCCAGTCTTGAGGGCTAGCAATGACACGGAACACCAGAACAACAGGGTCACTGTGAGGTGAGTGTGCGCAGTGCAGTCAGCTATTCGTAGTGCAATGCAACAGAACGCATAATATTTGCTGATGACAGGGGTGTCATGTTTTCAGAAGGGTGCATATTATGCAGGGATAAAAATTATTTACAGTCTACTGTCAAGTCTCACAAGTCTTGTGAATAAAAAGGCACAATTTAATGTAGCATTAAAAAGATAATTAATTACGCACTCCGTTTACTCTGTCGATGAATTTCTATTGTTTACAAATAAGTCATAATTTATCTTCTGTATGTAATGGGTAGATTCATTTGTAACTTATCATTACTTGAGGTGAACCCTTTGTTTATATTACATGATGTTTATATAATAGTATGAATTGTACTTTATAATATGTATTGTATTAATATTATTATGGCTTTTTCCACGTCGTATTGTCATCTGACTATCTTATGGATCTATGGAATATGTCATTTTTATTGAATGACCAGAGGGACAGAGACTACTAGAGACGTATGATGCAGATGAAAGGTTAACGTGAGGATGGTTGTAGAAAAATTTATAAACTTCATAGAAGAGGCGAGCAGTGTGATTCTTTTGTTTCTGTAACAGTAAAAAGCTGAGCAGATGTGAACAGTCGAAGGAAGAAGGGTCTGTTTTGTGATTACAGGTTGATTGAGTGCAGTGATCTGACAATAAAGAACGGGAACTGCGATCCGTTTGCAATAGTGACCATGTGCTACTCAAACAGCAAGCAGGAATCAAAACGCACAAAGGTGAAGAAGAAAACGGTGTCCCCACACTTTGATGAGGAGTTGGTATTTGAGGTGAGATTTGATTTGATTTCTTTGCGATAAACCAATAATGACAAGCATGGATTATCTGATTTACTGTTCCATTTGATCTAAACATGTAAAATACTTACTGGAGTTCATGAACATTCCTACGTGTTTATTAACATTTCCACTGTATTTGTCATGGAAATTGGGTTCTCACAACCTCCATTGAGCATCCCAGTCTTAATCCAATGTATGAAACATATTTCTCCAGTACTTGATTGCCTTTGAGTTTACTGTTTGTACGGCCGCTGACCTCTCTGCACAAACAGAACGTAGGAATCTCATCTGCACTTAACGCATTAACATCAGAGGTGTTTGCCACTATTTCTGATGGATGTAGAGCTCCTTGATTGTGGTACTATTTTGAATTTTTTCTGCAGGATTTGAGTTTTTTCACAGTGGTGAGTCTGAAGATTGCAGTCTTCTGGGTTATTGTGCCGTGTAGTCTGGTAGATTTCCACCAACGTTTCAGAGGTCATACTGCCTCTGTCATCGCCCTGATGGAGGCAGCATGACCTCTGAAACGTTGGTTAACATCGACCAGACTACACGGCACAATAACCCAGAAGACTGCAATATTTTTATTTTTTATTTTTGAATATGCCCTTATTTTGTACTAAATGCATAATTTGGATGAATAATTATGAGTTGCCTATGGAGTGTGAAGTGTAAGGGAGGCTTCATATTAGCAGTTATTGAGATCTGTTTGGCCCAGACATGCAATTGAATCGCCAAGAGCTTCTTTCTCCAGAGAACCAAAGGTGTGAGATCTGGACAATGTGGAGACATTCCAGGTCCTTCCAGTGTGTTAGGCACAATGTAACTTTGGTCAAGTTTCCATTGTATGTCCCCCATACATTGCTGAATACCACAGAAACATTTTGTTCAGAGATTTCAATGGAGATGTCTGATGGGAAGTTATTTTAAACCAATAAATGGGTGTGAGAGGTTAGACAGAACTATTAATGATAGTGAGATTACCATAGTAAAGTTAATCACATCAGAATTTATTTGTGAAGAGTAAATTGTTCTCATACTGCGAAATTAGCTGCTATCCTGTCTTTTAGAGGGGCTGACTGTGATACTTATCATTATTTGCTGGTTGCAAAACTCATGGGCAGGCAGTTATCACTAGGTAAGCAAGGAAGCAGGACATGTTTTGTTACGCAGAGATTTGATCGCAAGAGTACAAACGAGCATTACAGAATTTAAGGGGCAGTATCAGGTACTATTAGCGTCTTGAGACAGACCGCTTCATGCAGTCAGAAATCCTTGTTAGCACTTCTTGCTTATAAATTCCCGTATTCTGTCGTGATATATCTGTATTTTCGTTAACATGCTTTTCAGTGTATCCTCCCAGTTTCCTTGTATAGCAGTATCAACATTTCAATGCCGTTCTGTTTCTTCATTCATAATGTAATTTTATTGTTCGCGTTATCTGTTTGCACACACAAGGACATTGTTTGATAAAGGGCTGCGATAAGAGTACTCAGAACATTTTACTCTGTTCGGTGAACTGATTGATAAATCGCCCAGTTTGAGATAATGGTGTCTAGAAACAAAACAAGCGTGTTAAGACGAGCATTGGGTGGATTTTCTAGTATCACATAAAAATGGAGTTAAAACACATTCTCTGCTTATATGGTATAGTGGGAAATATTAGTGATAGTACACTTCAGGTAGCCTGTTTGTTACATTCAGATGTGAAACATGTCCTTTTTTAATATCTTTGTGATACCACAGTCACAGCAGACAAACATTAGAATGGAAAGCTACAATTTAAAAAATAACAACAGTAACATTCATCAAAATGTTTTGTACAGAGTGAATCATTCAAGTTTTAAGTGAACAGAGAGACAAAAATTTCTGAATACATGTAATTATTTGGGATGTCACCTGTGCTGTGTTTCTGCATGGTGATGATTTTTTCTGTAAATAACTGAAATTTACAATAGTTGAGACACTACATTGTGTTCCTACCTTCATGTAATGGGCTCTAGAGTTTTACATGATAAGGTATTCATAGGGAAACTGTGTGGTGTATTAACATTTCTGCATTGTGTATAAAAAAAATATGCTGTTTGTTTTGGGTACACAGACTCATACTTGTGTGTTAGACAAATGAGTCAGTTTGCTTTTCATTGGCTGTAGCTTCCAAACAGCCGTGGACAGAACCATGACCGGGACACTTATAACCTGCAGCATGAACGAGATGTGGAGTTCAGCGAGCTGAGGGTTACTTTGTGGCATGACACTGTATTCCTGGGAGAAGTGAAGATCCCTCTCAGAGGTCCTCAGCAGCAAGAGTTTGCTGCCAGCAGTAAGTGGTGGGTGAAGCTTCCTGTTGAAGACATTTGCTTAATGTTACTGAATATTAGAATTAAACAGTTGTGCTCCAAGGTCCAGATGCGTGTTGTTCTGTCTATTGCTGTATATATGCTGTTGTGCTATGTGGGTTAGTAAGAAGTGGAGCCGGGTGTTAGCACTGTGAGTTCAGTTTGTAAGATACTAACACACAAAGTGAATCTTCTGTTAGGTTTGCTAAAGGAAGTACTGTCCATAAAAGTTTGAAACCAGTCAATATGTACAGAAACTTGAAGCTGTATTTTTATGATCATATTGCAGGTATTTCCTCCAGCCTAGGTCGCTTAAGAACCGTCCTTGCAACAAGTCGCCCGGCAACTCTGGGTCTCCTCCTGGCACACATCAGGACAGTTTGGGTTCCCTCCGGCTTAGGATCCACTACACGGCTGACCACGTTTTCGCTAGTCATGTGTATGACCCCTTGCGAGAACTTATCCTGCAGAGCGTGCAGGTTGAGGTAGGAATCATCATTGAACCTCCAGAAAAGCCAAAGCAACTAGCAGTAACTTTTCTTTTATTCATCATTGCTACAAAATATTTCTATTACAGTCGTTGATTTCTTTAGTATGTTCGTATCACTTGTCACTTATTAGATTTATGTATATTTTATTAATGTTGTTCTAAATTCATCTTTTTTTAATTTGAACTGGTGTGGTATTGTTTATACAGTATTTTCCCTATTAAGACAGGACTTTTATACTTTTGTATGTATATTAGAAAATGTGAGCTAATCTTTGTGTTCACAATTAAAATGTATAAAAAATGAATTGTCTTTACAACAATTTCTTGCAGCTGTAGCATGCTGTGAAACTCACGTCTCTTGGATATCAGTATGTTTCCAAAGCAGTTGTTACCATTACTGCCGTACTTACGTGTGGTTTATACAGTTACATCTTTGAATCTCATGGATTTTAGTAAATGATTCTCTTTTTTATTACTTGTCATTAATGATGGAGTATGCATCAGACATAAGTTTGGTTTCCCAATATCTTTGCTTCTTACAAAATATTCAAAAAGAAGCTCTACATACATACATTTACACTATTGTATGTTTTCAGAAATTGCTTGAAGTAACTGTTCTGATTAACCCTATATATTCATTACTGCTTCATATACTAGGTTGGTTAAATTATGCCAGTGAGGTGCTTATTGTGTTACATGCACGTTAATTGAATAACAACAGTTTTTAACAGTGAGAAATGTATGGATGCCTCCGTCCTTTGATTACCTTTTATCAGCCAGTTACATCGAGTGCAGTGTACATCTTGGGTGAGATTGTGCCGAGCAAGATGGATGCCGTGCAGCCTCTTGTTCGTGTCTTCATGCATCACGGACAGATCGTGCCCATGGTCCGTGCTCTAGCTCACTGGGAAATCTCCAAAGTCACGTAAGATTTGCTGAATTTATCGTGCTGTTACTTCATCATGAATTGCACTCTGAGCAGTGTTGTTTTTACACACTTGAATTTTTCCTCATCTTTGGAAGATATTTTTGTGCGTTCGTAATACTATTTATTTATGCCTTTCATTTTCCTAGTTTTCCATCACAAAATTCTGCCTAAACTATGCATGATACCCACAGATTATATTAAGAAGCTGTGTGGATTTCTCTCTTTTGTAGGGATGCCAACACAATATTCCGGGGTAACACTCTTGTCTCAAAGATGATGGATGAAGTGATGAAGTTGGCGGGCCTGCATTACCTGCGCAACACACTCCGACCATCTCTGGACCTTGTATTCCAAGAACGCAGACCTTGCGAGATAGATCCCACAAAGGTGAAAGATACCACAGTAATTGAGACAAACCTTGCTAATCTCAAGGAGTATGTGGAGAACATCTTCCAGGCCATCACCACATCTGCCCTTCACTGCCCCTCACTCATGTGCCAAATGTTCCATGATCTCAAAGAATTAGCCAGTACTTGGTTCCCAGGTGAGTCATCTTTACGTGTTACACAGAAGTGTACATTTATGAATGCATTTTGAAATCTTATTCACTGTCTAAATGTTTCTCCTTCTGTTCTGGCACATTAGTTGGACTGTCTTTGTGCAGCTATTTTTTTTCCACAGAGGGACGTGTTGCAGTTCAGTTTTGTAACACATGTTAAATTATTAATATTTAAAATTATTATTGAGTATTACGCATACTTTTTATTTGCCACTTTACTGACGCTTATTATTGATCTGACATCTGCAGGTGTGTGATTGGCCCATCCACTGTGTAATACTCAGTTCAGGCTGACATTTGGCCAGAGTATGCAGCATTATTCAGTTCTTTCTCTTTAATTCACGTGTATTTTGTGTGACACATAAATTTCCAGCTGAAAATGTGGTTTTATTTTATTTCCAGACAACAGAGAAGTAAGATATTCCGTGATTTCTGGGTTCATCTTTCTGAGGTTTTTTGCTCCTGCCATTCTAGGACCTAAACTGTTTGATCTGACAACTGAACAAATTGTAAGTATGTAATTTATTTTGTATGACATTCTTATGAGTTATATGATGTAATATTGTCATGAACAGTCATTCTCGTTGTGAAAGATCTTCAGAGACGGGTAATGCATTCTGTAGTATTACAGCAAAGTTGCTGTATTATTATATCACATACAGTGTTCATATCCTGTTACAAAGAAATAACATTGATGGCGTATGCTTACGATACTTGCAGGACTCACAAACTAATCGTACGCTCACTCTCATCTCAAAAACGATCCAAAGTCTTGGAAATCTGGTAAGCTGCCGGTCTGCACAGCAGACATGTAAAGAGGAGTACATGGCGGCTCTCTACAAAGCTTTCTGTACCGAGAAACACATTCAGGCAGTGCGTCAGTTTCTTGAGATCATTTCTGCCTCGTCCAATCCTGGACATCGCACCCTTGACTCGCCTGTTGTGCTCAAGGAGGGGTAAGATAATTGTGTTATGTTGGTTGGCAGTACTGCCATTGTGTTCTGGTTTTTAAGTAGAATAAAAGTTTGTCTTTATATACTTACAAATAATAAACTCTCAATTAATAGCCTTAAATGCAAGATGATTCCATGGTAATAATGGGGGAGCTGAGTATTTGCAAATAATAATATAAAATATACTTACAAGGAATTTAAGTCATAATTATGGAACAGTAAACAGCATTTTGGTTTTTTAGGAGATCCTTGATATTTGCTGTTAGTAAACAGCATTTTGGTAATTAAAGGTTTTTAGGAGATCCTTGATATTTGCTGTCAGTATGTGTGTTGTGTTCCTGGGATTTTCATATGTTTCTGTAGCACTTTGTGAAATTTGAAACTTGACAATTTTCTGTACTTTGTTTTTCATCCCTCAATTCTGGATACTAGGAGAAGGTATGTTAAATATGTATCCAACTAAGAACTAAGTGACAAACCAGTGTGATAGCCGATATTCTTTGGGCCTTATATATTTTAAACTGTTCATAGAACGCTGAAATTTTGCTATAACAAAGTACTTCAGGTTTATGAATTGTGGCTTTCTGTGTTATAAGGCCAGGGTACCATGAAGATTAAGGTGATATGTACCTTCAAAATGTTGTTAATCACATATAAGACTATGTGGCATATTAACCCAGAAGACCACAATCCACATTTTCACTGCCATGTAAGCCTCAAATTTCATTTAACTTTACTGGTTGTGTATGAGCATAATTATTTAATTTAACTTGTTTAAGCAATGTTTCACTGTTCTGCATAATTATTTAATTTGACTTGTTTAAGCAATGTTTCACTGTTCTCATAATTTTCCTCAGAGTAAATACACTGGCTGCAAACTTTGTATGAAATTAAGTCATGATCGTGGCTACAGTAATTCAGTAGTTTTCCTGAGCTGTGAGCAGAATTATGATACAACTCGGGGAATCTGTTTGTCTTCATTCTTCCACTTGAAAGGATAATACTTATATCTGTGAAAAACATGGAAAGATTGTTTTACAGAACATGCTGTTACTAAATATGTTATGTTCTAAGAAGAACATTAGGCTACTCGTGTAATGTTATCAGAAATCAAAATTGGACTGTGTCCGAACTAGTTTCTTAGTTCATCCCATGGGGTTTCTGCTGCAACAGGTCACATATGTGCACAGTCACAAATTTGTGTATTTAATCACCATATTAATAGATGGTCTTGTTAATAAACATTAGTCTGGGTGATCATATCATTTATGAAAGCCTCATCCCAGTTTGGATGCAGAGAAAATATTTAATTCTGAATAACTTGAGTCAGGCGTCTGTTGTGCTTCAAGATGTTTACGTGGAGTCAGTGTTACCAGCATAAAAAATTTAAAATGTAACGCAAAACGTTCCGTGTTCTGCAGAATCCATTTGTTAACGTCGTTCCTTCTTAGTTATTAATTACAATGTGATGGTGTATGTAATGATCATTTTACAGGGTAATGATCAAACGGGCACAGGGTAGGAAGAGGTTCGGTCGCAAAAACTTCAAGCAGCGGTACTTCAGGCTCACGACTCAAGATCTCACTTACTCTAAAACTAAAGGTATGTGTCATAAAGTGACAATTGCATCGTAGCTAGAGGCAGGGCGAGGCGTGTTCTCTAACACTGCGCAGTGTCTGTGTGTTTGGTGTCACCAGGTAAAGAACCACTATGCTGCATCCCGCTGGACCAGATTCTAGCTGTCGAGAGGTTGCAAGAGGACTCCTTCAAGATGAAGAATATGTTTCAGATAGTTCAGCCCGAAAGAGCCCTCTACATCCAAGTAAGCAAATTGATTCTTATTATTCTTCATTTTTAAAATCTGCATTGTGCATGTCTGAAGATAGTTGGACTGGTGCTATCAGAATTAAACACTAAATGAGAATTTCACTGTCTTATAAATTACAAACAAAATCAAGAGAGTGATTTATTACTTGTTTCTGACATCTGGCATATATAAGTGATCACATTTGTAATATTTTTGCTTTGAAAATTGAAGATATCTTGGTGAAAGATGTGGCTGGTGATTTGGTTCCAGGCTAATAACTGTGTAGAAGAGAAGGAGTGGATAGATATTCTCACAAAGATCTGTCAGACCAATGCAAACCGACTGAAGCGTTACCACCCGTCGGCATACATCAACGGACATTGGCTGTGGTGAGTAGGAAACCGTACATTCTGAGCCATTCAACGGTTGATCTGTGGCCACTGATTTGATCTTGAGGTTTCCTGTCATACTGTGTTCATTTGCCAATTAGTAATGTCTAATGTTCTGAAACTCAGTAGGATAGTCATGTAATCAGATGAGTTCTCCATCAGATTCCATTTTCTCTGCACGTCATGTGAAGTTGTGATGTGCTTGATGCACATCTGTGCATTGTTTTGTACAAATTTTGTGGTGATGTGGATATCCAGAGATTCGGTAACAAATCATATCAGCTGCGTGTGCAGTCAGTGCTGCGTGAGTGACATCAAACGTTTTGAAGCTGGGTGAGTCACATGACAAGGAGAGGAAAGGAAGGATGCAGAGTGAGGGCTGGAATGCTGTGTGGCTCTCGGTGTTTCATTTGGTATCGTGCAGGTTCTTATGGAGGGAGATACTGTACTCAAAGGTTCTGAACATTCCATAAGAATACACATTCCCATTCACCGTTCTGTATTACATACTGTAATGGCACTGAACACTGACCGCTTCATGTGCTAAATGGTTGTTGAGCAACAAAGCAAAGTGCACATACATTGCTTTTGCATTACAAGAATCTGTTTGAAATTGTCCGTGAACCAGACCAGAGTTTTCAGGGAAACTCAAACAATGTGTGTAAGGATTTTGTGTCTAAAATGATGATGATATTATTATTATTAGTAACTGTGGAAAGTTATCTGAATTTATTGCAGATGAACACAAAAAGGACTGTCAAATTAGCATTAAACTAGATGGGATATATGTTGCAGAGTTTCAGTTCATACTTACATCAGACATGTTGGAATTCCTGTTAAAATGTTGGAAAAGAGATACTCTTCTCCTTTGATGTCTGTCGCTTTCACAAATTTTCTGTATTCTTGTTTCATCAAGGCATCAAAAAAAAATTCTCTCTTGTCATGTTTGGTGATTGCTTATAGTTCTTGCAATATGACTTTCAGTTGTCGGGAACCGAATGCGGTGGCACCGGGTTGCAGTGATGTTTCTCGAGGACTTGAGGCAGGACTGCAGATGAATCTTGACCCTGACCGAGAGCTTCAAAGGATCCACTCACTCTTTATTGCAAACATGGACAAACTGACCAGGCTGAGAAGTAATTATAAAAGTCCTAATTTCTCATGTTTTAATAATGAGTGTTATTTCTTGGGAGTAAATGAGAGAAATGCAGTTTCAGAGAACTTTGTTTTCATGCTCTGTGTTTTAAGACATTGCCATTTGAAGATTACAGTATAGTCCTTGCTAGGATCCAGTCAGAGTTCTTCGTAAGCTATGTTATAACGGCAGGGACTGTGTCAAGTTTATTAAGAGGAATGCAGTCACAGAAAATTATACATCATATTTGTGGGAGGTCTGAAGAAATGGCCAGCTAGGTCCCAGGTTTGAGCCCAGCTGCTATGGTGAGGAATACCATATTAAAAATGTAGAAGTCTTTTCAGGATAATGACAACCAATCATCTGAGATGGGAATAGAGCCAACGCATGAAATGTCATGTATTTTCTGTAAACCTGAGACGGAGGACTATGTCAAATACAATATTCCTGTAGTGAATCAACCATTGTCAATTTCTTCTGTCTGTTGAATTGTTTTCTGTTCTTCACTAACTGTGAAAGATGAATAATGCATGCCTTTAGTACTCATGATCAGCAGAAACATGCATTTTGCCTTCCACTGTGTGGCTTGGCACATACATACACAGAAGTGAGAGGAGGTTGTGAAAGTCGAGGTGGCACTTGGAGTGAATAGCGTTGCCACAGAAAATATGGCATAAGAATGAGGCAGAGCTGTCTTGTTGCTGACACTGTGACAATCATTTTTCAGGTGCATGTGAGTGCCAGGCAGTGTACACGGGCGACATCTGTTTTATGACAAACTTCATTATCGAGGATGTGCAGTCATGTTTCAAGACGGTAAACCAGTTGATAGAGGCACTGTGTACTTTGGAACAGAAACACCGCAGCTACCTGAGGTTACTGGCTCGTGAGACCAAGTATGGCAGCAAGTATGTATATATCTGTTGTTTTTTGAGCAGGTTTCTGATACTAAACAGCTTTCTTTTCACAAAATGATACTCATGTACTGTTGGAGGTTGTTCTTACATCCCTACCTTCAACAGACGTTTGGCATTCACGTCAGGCTTACGAAAGCTTCTATTAAGAAATGCTGTCACAAATACGAGCTGACTGTTGTTTTGATGCCACTGTTTGGCACAAAGGTATGTACAAAGTTTTCTTTAAGCCTGAGAGGTGAAGGTCTGATCCAAAATTCCATTTTAATTGGTTGATTTCACGTGGAATGACCCACATACAGGAAATATTGTTCTTTAATATACCTAGCTAACTAGTCTGCTGGAACAGTTTGTGAGAATGACAAATTATTTTAAAACAGGCAAGCCCCCATAGGAGATGACAACTACCTCCTGCTGGCAGCGAGGGTGCGACGTCTGGACAGCAGTCTGCCCAACTGACACTGGCTGGAGGTCTTCCATCTGTCTCATGTGTTGCCAGCTGCACAGGTGGTCACTGTGATGATGATGTGCCAACAGACAGCCTTTAGTTAGAGTGAAGTTAAGAATATTTTAAGTGAGATCTCAATGAGGTTTGAGGTTTTCACAGTGAAAATGTGGGTTGTGTCTTACAGCAAGTTGCCAGCAGTTCATAGGAACATATCACGTCCATCTACCCAAAGATAGAGGAAAGTGGTTCATCCGAAATGTTCATAACTGTGTACAAGACGACACACTTCTCATAATCCAGAATACCATATCATCTTGGGTTGCCTAAATTTTATTTGTAACTCTTCCAAGACTGACAGACCTTTGTCTGGATTTCTTGTGCGCCTCTTGCATGCTGACATGTAGGGGTGTTTTCTCCTCATTCACCCTTTTCCCCTCTTGCATCTTAAAGAAATTGTAAGTCTTCTTTTTCTGAGAAAATGTTGGCATTGTTTCAGCAAATTGTCAATTCCCATTAGTTGACTTTCTCTCTCAAAGCAACAGCAGCTGTAATTCTTCCATTTCCTGGCATCACTTTATACCCAGTCACATCACCTTACGTCTTCCAAGCGTTTGTGTTTAGACAGTTAATTTTAAGGAAACATCTTTGTACTGAAATGTAGTATACACGTAAGAATCGGCAACACTGAGTGAGTGGGAATAAGCACTGATGAGGGTATGTGTTGGGGATAGCAAAGTTTCTGTTATGAACATCATCTCCAGATTTCACTCCTCACATGTATGTTTACGTAGTGATAAACAGTTGTTCTGTTGTGGGGTAGGTGGTAGTTCCAGTATTCCCAACTTCCTCTAGTTAACAGCTGTTATAAACTGTATAGGAGGCTTGTTTTGAGTGTATGTTTTAAGTTGGCACCAGCTACATATGGTTTCTGGTGTGGTGAGTTGAAATTGTCGTGGTGCTGTGTAAAGGATAGTAATCTCACTGATTAGGAGCAGATGAATAATTTAAAATGAAAAGCATTTATTAATTTAATTGTATATGAAATACAGTGTAAATGTATTTGTACTCCCATTTGGTGAGACTGGGAGCTGTTCAAGTCAAAACTTTTTTTATTGTACAGTGTATAGTTAGCAAAACTTCAAGTTGCATAAAGTCTCACTAAATGTGCAGACAAGTGTTGGATCCTTGAATGTGAAGGTGGCAGATCAGTATATTTGATTGACACAAGTGAAAATATTTGTAAGAATCACACATAATAGTGGTTATATGCATCTTCACTTTGTTGCTCCTAATTATTAAGTTGCCCATTTTTATACCTTAACTCTTACTAAAAAAATATATATATATACACATATATATGTGTGTGTGTATGTCATAACTCATTTGCTGTTTGGAGTATTGGAAACTGAGAACAAGCAAGTCTGTTGGGAATTGAGAAGGAAACGTTCTTTGGTGGTGATACTGGCAGTGCCTTAATGAGAACAGCTGCTTGTGTGCGCGCGTGCATGCCAGTTACCTCTCAGACTGGTAAAGAGAGATGGTAAGAAACTGGATATTTTTCAGATAAGTCGTGTATTGATTTATTTAAAAACTGGAGAGGTCAGAATGTATGACAGAAATCATTTTTAGGTCCATGTGAAAATCCAATTTCAATTTTCTGCAGAAAACATGTAAATTCGTCAAATTTTAGAATAATTACTTTCTAATTTTTTGTTCAGTTCACTTTTGTCTTGATACACTTCGGATGATTGAGATGGCTGGCATGGTAAAACCAAAGTGTTTCATGACTTTAGCAACCAGAAATCCCATGTAAACTGCTCAGATTTGATCCTGTGAGAAGTCAGCATAAAGTCTTTTTGTTCAGTCATCTGCATTTTGCCCATTCTGATGGCTAAGTGACCATAACAGGTTTTGTATATTGCAAAAAGAATCTGTATTCACTTGCAGTGCTCGGCAACCATTTAATTCATCCAGCACTTCCTGTGCAGTACCACAGTGGTAAATAATAGACATTTTCATTATCTCAGTACAGATCATTCCAAGAAAACCCCAAGTGGATTGAGTGGTTTTGCTAGTTCTGATTCAATTTTGTATCTCGCCTTGCATAATAGAGCTTATTTTTTTACCACCACTATTCTTGATTTGTATGACGACATAACTCAGGTTAGGTGCATTACATGGGATTTATGGTAGACAAAGTGGAAGTGGAATGTCCCTGCAAGTCGTCAATCTATGATATTCATTTGTTGCACCCTCTGAAATCTCTACAGGTTTGGCCAGTGATACATCTGTCCCATTGATTAACTGCAGGTTTACCTGTCCAGTTCTTTGGTCAGTCAGTATGTCAAACGTTTCCGAGACATCACGAAACATTATGTCCTACTTTCTTATGTAAAATGCATTTTCTCTCACACACAAACATGAAAAATTATATGCCATTTCTGCAAACCTGCAGTCAGTGTTAGTACAGATAAACCTCACTACGTAATCCACTGTTGATTAATAAGTCGTGGAACTGGATTTAAGCCAACTCTTGCTGCCAAGAATTTGAGTCTTAACAAATTCTGCTAACAGTTCATGGTTATATATTTGTTCTGGCAATTAGTAAAGACTGTTCAGTTTCTGGGTTCATTCTCACTTATAAATTAGGCAAAATTATTAAATGTAATCACATTTTTATTGTCTTTATTACAATAAAGATGAGAAAAGTTATCTACCCACTGTTACAAAATGAGGATATAGTTTTATCAGGTGAATGGACAGGGGTTGTTCACTTGATCCCTACATGCTTGACAAATGCGTGGCCTACTGTCGACAAAGGGTACTGGGGTTCACCTCTGAACAGAAAAATATCTGCTTCATCTTGAACCTTCCCTCGCTCACCTCGGGAGATGTTCATTAACAAAGGGAGATTCAAACTATATTTTCCAGCAAATCTTAACATACTACGGCAAGGCAGAAGGGTGGTGCTACAAGTAGTGTTTCATGTCGAGGGCAAGCCATATGTACGATTCAGCCACTGAGTTGTGATGGACTCGGACATGACAGGTGTTCTGCATATTCTATTCTTGTTTCTGTTCAATGATGCACTGTGCTTGTGGGCACTTCAGAATTGCACCTCCATGATCACAAGTCAAGTCCTTGATCCCATCATGTTCAGATTACTGAACCTTATAGGTTCACACAAAATCTATTACTTTTATCTTGTGTTTATATATTTTCCTGTAGGTCTCTGATCTGTTTTTCTTTTCATACACATTTATCATCGACAGCGAAAACTAACTTGTGTAACACTAGCCCTTTGAAGGGCAAGCCCAACTTAATAGTTTTGCTGTTTGTTCTGAGAACCAAATTAAATCTATAAAGGGACTATATGGGCAACATGAATGTTGAAGAAGGTGGCACTCATTGTTACCACTGTCCTATAAGTGGTAAAAGTTATGATGTTTCAGGCACCGTTTCTCAGTTGTACATCAGATCTTCAGAGTTTACGAAGATCCAACACAAACACCTGAAACCAAGAAACAGTGACATACAGATTGAATCGCTGGCTCACTTACTTTTCTCGAGTGAACTACAAACTGTTAAGGCAGAATACACATCATTCACAAAGAACATATGGAAGACACCACTTGCAAGATCCAGGCATAGATGGGAACATGATATTAAGGAAGTAAGGTGTGAGTGAACTGGATCAATCTGGCTCAGTGGTACACCCTTGCAAAGATGATATGGAACCTTCAGGTCCATAAAATTTGAAGGAATTTGTTGATTAGCTGAGTGACTTAGTTTCTCTAGGATTCTGGTTAATGGAGTGTTTAGTTGATTACAAAATTGTAATGAACAGAAATCTTCTGGAAGGCCAAAACGGTAATATAAAAATGTATTTCTGGGAAATAGGTCATCAGCGAGTGCCAAAATTAGGACTGATTATAGCAGTGAATTTGTTGGCTAGTAAACAGTCGGTATCGACATTGAAAACAATACAAAGTGTAGCAGCACTGAAATGTGTTTCACTATATTCTGAACCTGAGAACTGAAGTGTGGTCTGCCTTGAGACATGACAATGGATATTGACTAATAACAAATAGCAGATGGATTCCATGCAGACATTACATTTAAATCCAAGGGAAAAAACTGCATACTTTAAAATGGTTTGTGCTGAAGCACTTTCCTATTTAGAAAATACTTAATATAAGCAGAAGATTCTCATACAATGTTCAAGTGGCTGACCTAAACAAATGTACAGTTTAAAATTCATATGCTGTTTTGTAAGGTGTAGAAAAGGTGAGCCACATTAACTTTATTTAAAATCCTGTTACTTCATTACATTGAAACTATGTTACTGTCTGAGGTTCACATCAATTCAAGTCCATTCATTCTACAATCTTCTTGAAGACATTCATCATTACAGTGGCACATAAATTCACAGTTCTTAAAAGAGTTTGGAGGTTTTATGTTCATATGTAGCAGAGGGAAAGAATGAAACTTACACTTCCGTCAGACGCGCTTGCTCCAACTTTGTCACCACGGGAATTCCAACAGACTTCAAAAATACCACCTGTCCCTTTGTAGCTATGGACAAGTTGTCCACTCTGAAAACACAAATTATACTGTGAGCACATATGTTATGAAACATTTCACCTTACAGACCGTTTTCATCAGCCCATCTTACCTGTGTAGACCAGATGTGGACACATTTATCAAAACTACCAGACGCCAGAAATTTGCCATCAGGAGAGAATGCCACACTGTATACTGGCTCTGTGTGCTTGGTGAGCGTGTGAATACAAGCGCCATGATCGACATCCCACAGTCGAACAGTGGAGTCAAACGAAGCACTGCGAACAACAGTAGAGCATACTGAACACATTATTGTAACAATATCCATTAAGAGTTGTATTTTAATATGAAAAGTATGTACACAGCATAGCAGGTGATGTTTCATCCCCAACAGTGGGATAACAACTGTGAAATGAGCATAAAACATTCAGTGGACGTCTTATCAGTGGTCTGAACCCCGTTTTCCCTTGTGCTTTACTCGTGCCCAATAAATAGATCTGATGACATCACTGCCGCTTCCTGCTCACTGTTGAAGCGCCACATATGACTTCACCAACACTGGCCTCCTCTTGTTTTTTCTTCAGTTCTGCTTCTACTTAATCATCTGTGATGATCCTCGCATCTGAGCTACTACCAGCTGTTAACTCCATTTATAAAAGTTCTTTCCTTCCCAATTTTCACCTTAGATCCATGGTGATAAAAACTGAAACTTGCTCTTCTAAGCAGTCGAAGAAAAATCTGGGAGATTTTATACTTTTCCTTGTTCCAAACCTTCTGGAAGATGGACTCAGCCTTCCTCGAAGGGTACAGCATTAGCACAGCTAGAACTGCATATGGAAGATGGACTCAGCCTACCATGAGAGGAAGACCTTCCTCGAAGGATACAGCATTAGCACAGCTAGAACTGCATTGACATATTTTATGCTGGCAGGAAGGTTGTGCAAAGCGTGACCATAAAAACGCGAACTTAAAAATATTTCACAGCCTGATATCCCTACTGGTGTACAAGTGGGTAACAACACAGTATTATATACTTTAATTTTAAAAAAATAAATTTACCTCGCCAATATTAGATTCATGTTCGGGTTGGGAGTGCCTGGGCCCGTTGGGCTCCACTTGATGGTGTAGATTTCTTTGCTATGTGCTTGAAGGTCATGGACACAGGTGTCCTGCTTCATGGACCAGATCTTCAAGGTCATATCATCTGAGCATGAAGCTAGGAGATTTCCTTGTGGATCCCACTTTATCGCATTCACCTCATTCTGGACAAAAAATTGTCTACAAATATAAAAGCTAATCCACTGGTTCTCAACTAATTCTTAAGATGGCACTGGAGGTGGCATTAAGAATCATAGTGTTAAAGAGCATAGAAGAAGGTGGCCATGGTCTGTTTTAAAGAAAATGTCTTAAGAGTTTGTGCCAAACCTCATTCCGGACAGCAGATGTACTGACAGAGCATGAGACTAATAAGTAGTTTTTCACAAAGAAAAAACCAACCAACCTCCTGATCAAATGATCTCAACAAAACTACACCTCTGCTATTGCTACGTGAAACATCTACAGCTAGTACATACCGTGTGGCCTTGGAAGGATTTTATGGGTTTGTCGACACTCAATTTACAGACGTGGATGCACTGGTCAGTACTGCAGGAGGCAAAGCTCGTGTTGGTCTGCCAGTCGACGTCTAGTGCAGGGGCCGAGTGGAATGAAAACTGCTGAGTGCACTGTCCTGATGCAGCATCCCAGATTATTGTTGTCTGAGAGGATGAAACAGAACTGCCAATATATCTATAATACTAGTGTCACTTTATTCTTCTCCCTTCACAGAAATGTGAACCTACTTACAGAGAAACAGTTCTATCTTGAACACTGATTAGAACTTTCAAAGAACAATTCAGTACATTCCTTCATAAATATTAAATGGAATCTTAAGGGAAATATGACAGTATGAAATGGTACGAGGATGCTATTAAAATAAATGCATCATTATGACTGTGCTTGCAAAATATGTGTAAAACTGTACTTAGTTTTGTGACATTTCAGATTTTCATGACATCAATGTTGGTGTTCTGTGTTGTAATGCTTTATGACCTTGTACACATGACGCTACAGCCCTGAAAACCAACAGTGATACATTTATTTTTAATTACAGTTTAAAATCAAGACACTAACATTTACATACATTACTATGATTTTATCATCTTTTTTCAATGATACATTACAATGACTTACATCTTCAGAATTTTCTCAATAATGGACAATTTATTCTCATTAGCCAAACACCTTTAAAAAGATGTGCATGTACGCACCTACAGTCATGTGAAAATACTAAATATTTTTATGGACACAAGCTAAAGAATCACATCAGGACCATTATGATATGAAATCTCTTCTAATAAAATTATGGTGTCTCTTACTTTGTCAACTCCAGCACTTAGAATGTAGTTGCCTCGTTTGTTCCATTTTAATGCAAAAATTGGTCCTTTATGCTGTCCAAGCGTGCTGGCCAGTCGTCCGTCTGTCGTCCAAATGCGAGCATAACCGTCATAAGAACCAGTTGCCAACAGAGTCCCATCACACTGTTCATAAAAACAAAATGTGATTAGCACAAATAAAGAGTACGTATTTTACAGTAACATCACGTGTCAAAATACCAACATTCCAGTCCAGCGAGGTGACATCTTTATTGCTTGGAACTTCTGTCCCTCCTTTCTGGATACAGTGCCGTAATACCAGCTGATTTGGAGATGCTGAATTATCACTCATGTCCCAAATTCGTGCTGTACTGTCACCTGACCTGTAACATGTGAATCAGTGGTACTCCATCTTACAATGATGTCAAATTATAATTTATGTACGTACACACTCAAAAGTAAAGTCATCATGGTAGCTATCAGTTTTGACTGCCTTGCATAACTCAGAATGCAAATTAAAGCTTTCACCTCTGCACAGATTGGCTTCTAAAATTTTTGAAAATACAAGGCTTTCTTTTGGTTCTGAGTCCCTCCGTAGTCATCAGTATCGCAATTACTTCATCATTTGAAAAAATGGAAATGACCTAATAGAGCTCCTATTCCTAATTGGATTACCAGTGAAGTGCAACATCTCACCCTGAAGCCAGTAAGTCGGTAGTTGGATTCCATGCACAGATGAAAACTTCTGATTCGTGGCCTCTTAATACTGTAGCTTTGCTTGGTGGTATTTCAATACTCCCATCCACTTCCATGCTCTCAGCAACATTTGATGTCACTGCTGAAAAACTTGGCAATTAATATCATCTGTTCCAAAACTGTGATCAAATGGCAAATATTAAATTACACTTAGAACTGTTACCTTCTTCACCATTTGTGTCCTGCATTTCAGTCTTAACAATTTGTTGTTTTTGTTGATTCTGCTGGTTTTGCCTACTTGCAACTACATCAGGCATTACTGCATCAATCAATGACAAACTCTCTACTAAACGCTGTTCTGTTCCATCCTAAAACATAATAAGTTAACAATATCAATACATTTTAGGAAAAACTGTTTTCTGGTATGTGATGCAATGTCCTAATCAGCATGAAACATTCTATCTTATGGTAACAGTTGCTTGAGATATTAAATACTGAATATAATGGTAGTTACTTCTCCTATGCTTATTTCTGCTTCAGTGTACTGCAATCCTTTCTGGAGTATGCTGAGTAGAGCGGCTGGTGGTACTAGAGCTCCATTAATGTTGGACTGTGAAATGTGGGATTCAATGCCAAATGTGTAGGCTGAATGCTGGAAACCTGGAAAAGTGAACACATCATTCATGACTACCTCAAACACATCACAGCCACAGTTTAATGTAGAACTTTGGCTTTCTGGGGGAAAATAGAATAAAAGTTTGTTGCTTAAGTGTTTCAACATTCTGGCAATCACTGCAGTTACCAAATCCACGATGAATGTCTGTGGGAGGAAAAAGGAATCTTACATTGATCTGGCAGTGGAAATTAATAACCGAGTGGGCTGAAAGCTCGGTACTGTGGTTCGGAAGAAAAGCAGGATGTGGCAAGTGGGGAATGAACTGAAACCCATCTTGCTCAAACTGCATCCACTTACACAGTTATGTTCA